TCAAATAAATATCAATAATTTCTAGCCACATTTCCAATCATAAAAAAGAAAAACTAGTCCACTGGTTATCACTGTATTTAAAACAAATCGACTTTTTACAGGGTCACCCACAAAGGATAAGACTTCAAAGACGATTGTGAGGAATTTATATAGTCCTTTTTTTGTGCCAAATCATTCAGTAAACTATCTATCAAACTACTTAATTGAATGCAGAAACCAAAAATTAAGCTTTAAATCGTCATTATTTTAGAGTTTTAGGTCGTCTTTACAGTATAATCCTTTGTGGGTAACCCTGTACCAACTGTAAGTGTTCTGTGTGACCCCTGTATGTTTTATCAAATGTTTTTTCCTCTAATCTTTCCAGATTAGTGGTTGTCAAATATTGATTATTTAAGATTAGAAAACTATTTCAACTATCTCCGTCCTATAACATAATCTGAACGCTCCGGGTAAAAATACGTTAATTGTTTGTTTTGACTTGAAATCTTGACAGAAGAGAAATATTTTAGAACAAAAATGTTCTCCAAATTCTACCAGAAAATTGTATAATGAATCGGTTCTTTTGAGAAGAACCCAATAGTCTGCAATCATGCTAATTCTACCTTCCCAAGAAAGTTTGGCCCTAAAGCCCTAAAAATGTCAAATATGGTTTGTGATATCTCAATTTATATGTATTCAGATCCAACTGGGTTTAAAGAAATCCTAGCCACTCAGTTTAACCTACTATAGTTCTTATACTTACAAAACCATGCTGACTTTAAATTTCTAATAAAATATCCTAAAGGACTTGAGTCATTCTCACAAACTCAAATTTTCTAATCCTTATATCTTAGCAACTTGATGGTGCAAACCTTTGATATTTCAAACTTAGATTATTTGATCTACCAGAATTCATAGTTTTAAATATCTAAGGTCTACGGCATTGGGTTGCAAAGATACAGGGATTAGAAAATTAGAAACCATACTTCTACAGCATTAACTTATACCAAAACTATACTTTTAACTCATAATTTACCAAAACCATACTTCTATTGTATTAACTTATACCAAAACTATACTTTTCAATCGTAACATAACCAAAAATAAACTTCTACGGCATTAAGTTTTTAAACTATACTTTCAAATTACAATATAGCCAAAAAAAACATTCTATATATTAAACCTATTCAAATTCTACTTTAACATAAACTAAACCTATCTAAAGTATACTTTTATATACACTAAACCTTTCTAATCTATACTTTAACATAAACTGAACCTATCCAAACTATTCATTATATAAAGTAAACCTATACAAACCAAACTTTAATATAAACTAAACCTATCCAAACCAAACTTTAATATAAACTAAACCTAATTAAACTATACTTTAATATAAACTAAACCTATTTAAACTATACTTTAATATAAACTAAACCTATTTAAACTATACTTTAATATAAACTAAACCTATCCAAACCAAACTTTAATATAAACTAAACCTATCCAAACCAAACTTTAATATAAACTAAACCTATCCAAACCAAAATTTAATATAAACTAAACCTATCCAATCCAAACTTTAATATAAACTAAACATATCCAAACCAAACTTTAATATAAACTAAACCTATCCAAACTAAACTTTAATATAAACTAAACCTGTCCAATATGCAGTCATAAATATAAAATCAAGGTGTAAATCCAAACAATTAAAGAAAAAAGTCCATGAAAGATATCTTGTATAGTCCGCAGAGGACAAATGTTCTAACTCTCACATGTGCAATTATGCAAACAAATAGACAAGACTAATAGATCCTTAGAAGAGAGCGTATACTGAACAATAACAAGGTTACAAATATACAAACGGGCAAAAAATTAGAAATCCCGACCAGACAAAGCAATGTAAGACCGAGAACTAATGAATGGAAGAGGGCTGAGCCATAGTATTCTCAGTACCCGGAGTAAAATGTATTTTCTCAACTAAATGTCAAGTAAAAATTCCTATGTAAGCACTCTCTCTCCTCTCTTTTCTTCTATTCTTCTCTCCAGGCTCCTCCCTCTCAGTTCAGCCTATGGTCCTATATGCTCGTAATTTACATGGAGAAGGTTAAAATGTAGAGGATGTACGATGAACAGAGAAGAATCTTTGCAAGTCGAGGTTTCGTGATTTTACATGTTTTCAAAATAAAAATGATAAAAGATGTGTTAGTCATATTATAAAACGATTCATGTTTACATGATAATTTAAGATTTTTTTTCAGTTTTAAAGTATGTGGAATGTGTAACAAAAGATATACCAAAAGTCTTCCTTGAACTCCAGGTTATTCTAATCCTTCTTATACAGTTACAATAAGAACCAGCAATAAGTGGATTTTTTTCAAAGGAATTGAGTCTTTGCAACAAACCCTGATTTTCTAATCCCTTTATCTTTAGATTCCAATGTCGTAAACCTTTGATATTTCAAACTTTGAATTCTGTTAGAGCAAATAATATAAGTTTGAAATATCAAAGGTTTACGATATTTGATTTAAAAGATATAGGGATTATAAAATCAGAGTTTGTGGCAAAGAATCAACTCCTTTAATTACGAAATGTCGCGAAAGATTAGTTTATAGTTTGCAATTGAACATTTTTAGAGATAAATCATTTGTAACAATTGTCAATTACTAAATAAAGTAAAAGGATGAACAAAGACGATAAATTCATCCCACAGTTTTCTGGTTCTTCCTGTACATGTATATATCTATCTCGTACAAACATTGTGTATTTTATTTGAATCCTAAATCTGTGTCTAGAGTAGAACAATCAAATCCTTTTATTTAATATTTTAGATCAAAGTTTAATAAACAATAAAAACAAATATTAAATTAATTTTGTTCAAACTATAGTTCCAGGTTTACCAGGTTCTCGGCTCCTGGTTCAAAATTTAAAGTTTAAGGTCCCATATTTAAGATTACCAGGTTTACACCTCAAAAATTAAACCTGAGACTCCTCTTAAAGGTAACACGTTTCGAATTTCCGCTTTCATATTCCATGTTAAAAATTCTAAGCTTAATTTCCCTGGTTCCTTAACGAAATTATAGATACAGACTCCTGCAAGTTGAACTGTATTGGTTACTAATTACGTATGAAATATGAACTACTAGCTGAAGTGCCCAACGTCGCCCATGAAATTTTAGATTAGTGGGATTGATAAAAAATTTATTATTCCTTTTTGGCAACTTTTTCCCTCTTTTAGACTCTGTATAAGTGTTGATTTTTCACAGAAACATCGTTCAGAAAGAAAACCTATACTTTAATTTTGTCATGATTCATCTTATTTTTCTCCCTTTTCATTTTTCGCGAACGCTCCCTTTACGCCTCCTAAATAGTTTAAATTTTTGAATTAGATAATTACTTAATAACTTAATTTAAGAATTTTCCTAGAAACTGTGAAACTTAACAGCTTTCATACACTTGTAACTTTTTAGTTAATAATCTGGAGAAATTCTAAACATTATCATAAACTTTTAGAAGAAAACTTCTTCTTAAACCTTACACCACCTTTCAGACATATTCCAAGTCTTAATAATTTTCTTTTTCCCCTTTTTCATCTTTTTTTTACCCTTTTTTTAACGCATTACGCTGGAGTCCCTCTCTCAAACATTTTGCTAAAAATAGTTATTTTTCCAATTTTTTATTTTAAAATACTAAACATATTCCACTTTTGTCCAGTTTTGTTGATTTTTCTATTTTTAACAAAGTTAAGAATAAACTTTTTAACAATCAGTCAAGTTTCACTGTTAAAACTTTTAACATTTCAACTGGTCATAAATTCCCCCCCCCCTTACACCCACTCCTTCTCACTAGCTCACTCTCCTTTCTAATACCTTCTCCTCCCTCCTTTTATAAAGAAAAGGGGTCATTTTAAAATATTTTTATATTTCAGTTTATTCAATATGTAGATTTATTCCTAGGGAGAGGTATCTAATATTTCTTCTAGATATAACCATCCACAATACCCTGAAGTCCGGCGCCCCCCCCCCCCTTGATAAACCTAATAAACTAGAAGCCGAGGAGAGGGTGGGGGGATTCCCTATAGTCCGGAATAGAAGTATAAACCCATTACAGTTCGAGTAGAAACGTACGTGGATAATTTTTCAACCAACGGACATTTGGAAAATATTTTTCAAGGTGTAAAAAGTAGGAAGGAGTATACACAATATTTACATGAATGGTTGAGTAAGATATGGGTTTAGGGTGTGTCTTTCTTCTCCTATCTTAACCCTGGTCAGCACTCATTATTTGTACTAAGATTATATCATTCTAATCATCCATACGATTCCCAGATGTCCAGACGGTAGAAGGAGGAGGAGGAGGGATATTTGATAGTAAGGAGGGTTGTTCTAGGACTGAAGGGGGGGGGGGGGGAATTAAAGATCAAGATTAATGAATATTACAATCAGAACGGTTTTGTATATCTCGTAAACTTTCAGGAATAAACGATCATTCATTTCAAACCTTTTAATGTTATCTTAGATCTTGAAAACCAACCAATCTTAGCTCTCATAGACAAGACCAGAATAGGCTTAGGTAAAAAGGGTTTTTAGGGCTTAGTAAACAGGCTTTCAGGATTCTTTTCAGCCCGAGGAAGAACGTTTTTTTGGAACTTTACTCTGCAAATTGGATGCATGCATTGTAAACTTTTTACTCGCCGATTTTAGTATTACATAATTCACTTTAAACTAAACATTTAATATTTTCTCTCTCCACCCAAATTATAAGTTTCTCTTTTTATTTCATTCTTCTTTTTAAAGCCCTTCTTAATTAATGTGGTTTTCCTATTTTGTTGTCAGTGTGCTATATAGCCACACAAACTTTAAAACAGTTTGCATTCTGTGGTATTTTAACAGTTTAGAATGACGAAAACAATCGACATTGATTATTTTTTGCCTATGTGAGCGTAAAGACATTATTGTTATTCAGACGGATTTCTACCGCAATATTCCACTTCTCGTTCATTACAATGAATAATGATATATATTATAATAATGTTTATTCTATTAGATTTAAGATAACAATAATCTATATAAACATATTGTAGATCACAGATTGAGAATATATTTGTCCATATGCTGAACATTTGAGATTATCCTTTCTTTGGCACAGATATAATGGTTTCAGTCCTAGGTTTGATTTATAATGACACGAGGCCAGACCTCGGCTGGACATAGGATGGAGAGAGGATGAATGATAACGATGTAGAGAGGAGAATGTGTTGAGTGATCCTTCTACAATTGAGTGGTCAAATTGAGGATCCAGAATTGAGTGATAAGATTGGATATTAAAACCCTTGGTTCTCTTACAGGGTTGGAGAATGAAGGTAACAGAGTTGAGTGAAATGGTAGGAAATGAAAGAATGGCGGTTTCAATGTTGAATGAAAGAGCTGGAGGTTGAAAAGTGGAGGTTGTGAAATATTGCTATTTGAGGCTTCATGGTCGAGTTCAATTTTTGGAGGTTCAAGAGTTTACTAGTTTAGTAACAAAGCTGGAGGCTCTAAAGTTGAGTAACAGAACTGGAGGTTATATAATTGAATAACAGCACTTGAGGTTGAAGAATGGAGGTTTTATAGTTGAGTAACAGGACTGGAGCCTGGAGAATGAAGGTTCTAGAGTTGAGTAACAGGACTGGAGCCTGGAGAATGAAGGTTCTAGAGTTGAGTAACAGGACTGGAGCCTGGATAATGAAGGTTCTAGAGCTGGGTAACAGGACTGGAGGCAGGAGGACCCTCTAAACTGATTGTGGATTGAAGAAACTGTATTCTAGGAAGGGGAGGAAGGGGAGGAAGGGGAGGATGAGATTTAAAGGACTGAGTTCTCCTGGCTGGAAGGTTTCTCAGCAGGGTTCGATTTATCCTGAGATCAGGCCGACTGGCCAGCTGCTGATGCTGGGGTCCGGAGAAACTATCCTGGTTTATCTGATTTTGTGAACTAAAAGGATAACCAGACACTTCCTGTCCTAACTGTCCTGATTGACCAAACTGTAACACGGATTCTCGTAATCCGGTCCCATTAAGTGTATCCGGTCGAGCACTGATTGTATTAAACCCAGAGACTAGATATTGAACCCCTGACATATCGTGGTAGGTTCCCGACACACCTCCACTTCTCCCAGAGAAGTTTCTTGAGAGTCCTGATAAATCCCTGTCACTGTACACACTGCTCAATTCACTGTAATCACTCTCTATTGTTTCATATACCGGATATATACTTCTCTGAGAGCCTGGATACTCCCCTCCTTCGTATCTTACTACACCCTCAGGTTTAGGATGCTCAAAGAGGTGGAACGGAACTCCTCCGATAATAAGAGTAGAAGGAGGAGAAGACGGAGTGGAAGTATGCTGAATGGTTCCGGAACCTGGTAAGATGGTTCGTCCATTAAGATCTGCGATAAGCTGATGATCACTGATATAATGGTTTGGAAGAGTTCTGTGTCCGAACTCCGGTTTTCTTGTCTTCTCGTTGGAAAGATCTGATTCTCCGGTTATCTCCGGGTTGGATCCAAACTTGCGGAGTAAAAACTGTCTTCGTCTGAAAAATAAAACATATTTATCGTGTGTAATGATGGTTTATGAGACAGGAAGAGTGGGCAGGATAACATCTAAGGTTTAGTTTGGATAATAAAAGATTAAAAACTTTTGTCAGTAATAAATTGAGGGAAAATGGAAAAGTTTGAGCAAAGCAAGCAAAGGATCAGGATTAGGAAAATATAAGAATGATAAATATATTAGAAAACTAGCTCTAATACGAAGCTAGAGCTCAAGCAAACAAGATCATTAATGTTCCTTTAACCACTAAGGGGAATAAGATTGATTACGAAGAATATATCTAGAAAGCAAGGTTTACCTCCAAAGAAGAACAGCTCCGAACATAAGTGAAATGACAATGATGAGAGATGATACAACAATGATTGAAATACTGTGAAATATCTCCTGAACATTGTCTAAACTGCTGATAATAGGTGCATTGTGACAACCTCCAGTTTCTCTGCAGTCCTGTCCTGTCTCCATCCAGGAGGGAGGAGGAGGGGGAGGAAGATCAAATAATGGAGGTGGACAGAACTCCATATCACATTGCTCCATGAAGAGATCTAAGTCTGGGAGTGGTACCTCCATAGTTCTGTCAGTACGCTGGTCAGAATTATACTGATTGTAAGAATGAGCGGGGTGGTGCCGCCACCTGATCCCTTCACCCCCCTCCCCTTCACCCTCCCACCACACCCCTACCCCCCCCATCCATCCCTTACAAGGGCGAGAGAATACTGACCAAAGATTTATGTTAAATGTTGCAATGTCTGAAAGATGGGTGAAAGATATGCAGATATTTCTTGTCTCCGGCCTGACCTTGGGTTTGCATCCCTGTATACATTTCCAAACTAAATCTTAGTTCTCAGATCAATATCTACAACACTTTAAAACCCTTTTAAAGCAAGCACATAGCAATGTAACTCTCTTAAACCACTTAAACTGAAGTTTAAGATTCTTTGTCATGATGTTTAAACTTTTGCCTTAAATGATAACTCATATCTTCTTACATGCTTTTATTGATATTAATAATACTAGCTTAGGAGCCTAGCTTTGCATAGAAACTAAGTTTTTCATATAAAAGTCAACCCACTCAAATTCGAATTTTAAAACCAAGCTAAGAACATTTTCTTATACCGAGTTTCTAAATCAAAATTTGAGGCGGATCGGTCAAGGGGTTAATGAAATATAATCGGACATCTAAACAGACAAACACACAGAGATTATTGGTTTAATGTAAAGATAATGGTAAAGAAATGGTTTGAAGAAAAGGTAGCTTAATTAAGATTTTAGAACCACAGCACATTGCACAAAAATTCCAGGTACATTTAAAATTTGTAAAATCTGCCATCTGTACACAATTTAATTTTCTGAAAAGCCATTAATAAGAAATATTAGGTTTTGAAAAAATATTATGCAATTAAACAATTTATTTTTTCTTACTTTTTGGTATAAAATGAAAATTATTTCAGAGAGCCGATCAGTTTTTAATGTAAAAATGTTATCCCATCTTTTCTACTTTTTTATAATAAATCTCCTGATATGAAATGGCCAGTTTAGGTAAAATCGCTTGCTGACATGTTTTTATAGTTTACTTCTAGACAATATTTGTTTTTAGCTATTTTAAGAACAAAAATTTTCTGAAAATTATTAAAAATATGTTTACAACAATACAGACAAATCAATGTCAACATATTTTGGAATTTTTTAAATAGTTTTTTTCACAACAGTCTTGAAAAAGTCATCTAATTCACCATAAAAGGAAAGGTTTAACTTTTTAATGTTGCATTGCAATTGCTGAATTTAAGTTATAAGAAATATAGAATTACGTATAAAATTTTGGCGGTAAAAAGTTGAAAGAATTGAAGAAAAATTGAATTTGTTTATTTCAGTTTGTATTTACTGTTTGTACTACCTAGACTACCTGGCAACCAAACTCCTTTCATCTCCGCGTACATTCAACATTTTTAGAAAATATTCTCAACTCTTCACCACCCTTCCCCCACACAGCATACTTTTAATATCTATTTATTCTCCGATTCTACCCACGCACTCTCCATTTATCCTCCGATTTAGTACACTCTCCATTTATCCTCCAATTTAGACCACTCTCCATTTATCCTCCTATTTAGTCCATTCTCCATTTATCCTCCAATTTAGTCCACTCTCCATTTATCCTCCAATTTAGTCCACTCTCCATTTATCCTCCGATTTAGTACACTCTTCATTTATCCTCCGATTCTTAATTCATTCTCTCTATCTATCCTTTATCTATTTAGCCTCCGATTATGAATACTCCGATTCTTCCCATCTTCCCATCTATTCTCTGATACTAAATGCTCTCCACTTTCCCTCCAATTATGACTTTTCCATTTTTCCTCTGATTCTTCCCAGTCCCCATTTATCCGCCAATTCTAGACTCTCTCCATTTATCCTCCGATTCAGAACTCTCTCCATCTATCCTCCGATTGTCAACTCTCTCCATCCATCCTCCGATTCTGTTCACTTCATATATTCTCCGATTTTGAACTCTCTCCATCCTTCCTCCGAAAGTCAATTCTTTCCATCCATCCTCCCATTGTCAATTCTCTCCATCTATCCCCCCTATTCTCCGATAATCAGCTCTCACCATCTATCCTCCAAAAGTCAACTTTCTACATCTATCCTCAGATTCTGAGCTCTTCTTCATATATCCTTCAATTTGGAACTCTCCATCTACTCTTTCAATTCTTAACCCTCTCCATTTTCTCCTTCAATTACAAACTCTCTCCATCTTATTTTTCAATTCATAACTCTCTCAATCTTCTCCTTCAATTCTGAACTCTCTCAATCTTCTCCTTCAATTCTTGAGTCTCTCCATGCATATTCTTCTTCAATTTCTAACTCTCTCCATTTTCTCCTTCAATTACAAACTCTCTCCATCTTCTTCTTCAATTCTTAACTGACTCCATATTCTGCTTCAATTCAAAACTCTCTCCTTCTCCTTCAATTCAAAACTCTCTCCATCTATCCTTCAATTCAAAACTCTCTCCATTTTCTCCTTAAATTCTTAACTCTCTCCATCTTCTCCTTCAATTAAAAACTCTCCTCACATACTCAGACTCTACGATTTGCTTACTTTTACACATTCATCTCTCCAGGTTTGAGTTTACGGAGCTAGGGTTGGTTTATAGACGTTTACGTTTATTTTAGGATACAATCGTAAACTCGTGATGGTACAGAGTTGGATTATAAAATAGAAATGGAAATCTAAAAGATTTTACAGTATTCATTTGCACCCAGAGAGAGGATTACACCAACCCCTGCTCGGATCTATAGAAGAGAGAATGTAGTGTAAGCATTTTATTTTATTTGCCTGTATAAAATTTACTCTAAGTGTTCTGAGTAAAAGGTTTATTTCACTTTTATGTGATTGTGTATAATACTTCGTGTTTCAAGTAAAGATAGACCAGTATCTACATAGAATATATCGATGAGTTTCATTAAAAAAATAATTTGTATAATTTACAGTAAAAACCATAAAACTGCGGATGAGGAAAGACGACCTTTAAACAATATAATGCGTATTTGATGTTGTTATCAGACAAATAGTTTTACCACTGGCTTAAAATCAAATATTAAATAAAATGGGTCTGCGTTCACTGCACAATTGCCAAAAACCATGACTTGATTCTAACAGTCGTCTTCCTATTTCACAGTTTATAGATCCAACTGTATGTACATTGTAAATTAGATATGTTTCAGAAAATGTAGAATATCCGAAGGGAGAAAATTAGAATTTAGATTATATAAAGTTTGACAATTTCAAGACTATTCCAATCCTTCGTGAAAGTTATTTAGTTGGATTTGGATCAGGTTGGCAGAGATAACTTGGACTGATTGATCAAAGAGATAACTAACTAACTATCTAGTTTTCTATCAAATTGTTATACTACATATGTAATACAGATTTTTCTTTCCCTCCAGGATAAACCACACTTTTAAATAATTGGGTTCCAGGTTCCAGAATTCAGTTTACTTTTTCCTGGTTCCTGGTTACAGGTTCCTAGATACAGGTTCCTGGTTTCAGGTTCCTGGTTTCAGGTTCCTGGTTTCAGGTTCCTGGTTACAGGTTCCTGGTTACAGATTCCTGGTTACAGGTTCCTGGCTGCAGGTTCCTGGTTACAGGTTCCTGGTTTTATGTTCTCAGTTACAGTTTCCTGGTTATAGGTTACTGGTTAGTGGTTTCTGGCTATAGGTTCCTGGTTTCAGGTTCCTGGTTTCAGGTTCCTGGTTTCAGGTTCCTGGTTACAGTTTCCTGGTTACAGGTTCCTGGTTACAGATTCCTGGTTACAGGTTCCTGGCTGCAGGTTCCTGGTTACAGGTTCCTGGTTTTATGTTCTCAGTTACAGTTTCCTGGTTATAGGTTACTGGTTAGTGGTTTCTGGCTATAGGTTCCTAGTTACAGGTTCCTGGTTTCAGGTTCCTGGCTGCAGGTTCCTGGTTACAGGTTCCTGATTACAGGTTCCTGGTTACAGGTTTCTGGTTACAGGTTCCTGTTTCCTAGTTCTCTTTTCTCATTCTAGGTTGGGTTATGTTATTCTTATTCCTAGTCTGGTCTATGTATCTGCAGTTCTAAATTCTAGAATAATGTTTCAGGTTTTAGGTTTCAATTCAATTATTAAGCTTGAGAAGGATTATTTTCACGTTGGAGACAAAATTTAAAAGGTTCCCATGGGACCTATTCTTCACACTAAACTCTATTGAAATTGTAACTTCAGGGACAAAATTGAGTTTAAACAAGGACGAAACTTCTCCGTGAAATAGTTGAACGATGAAATCAGAAGCTGGGAGGTCAAGATAAATATATCAAATGTGTCATTCCAGTAAATATGATAAATAAATAAGATTGTAAAATTACGATACTTAATGATATTGTTTGAACGTAAGGGAAGACATTTAAAAAATTCTAAGAATCAGTTTAAAGGAAAAGTACACTTTTCTTATATTAGATACTTTCGCATAGATTTTACAATAAATCACCAACTGCCAGGAAAACAAACAAGTTGAGGGCGGTTTTACCTACAATAGTAGATTTTGAATTGAACAGGAAAACTCCATCAGCAATTATCCGAATAGAATTGTCCAGTTTTAGATCTAATTAATCAAACCTAGCCTGACATCTAAATTAGACCGCAGTCCAGGGTGCCACCAGGAGGAGGGGGGGTTCAGTTTAGGGAGAGGAGGGGGGGGGCTCATAACAATACTATTTTTATACTAATCCAATCATTCATAACTTGTTGAGAGTGACTGAAATCTTATTTGAAAAGATATGTTTTGAAGATCGATATCGGCCACGAAATCATTTTAACAATTATGATTAAGCTATATTCATATTCTCTCAAAAACTGTTAAAGAAATAAAAAAAAAGAAATTGAGTCTTTGCCAAAAACTCATATTCGAATGCCTATATCTTTTCAATTTGAAGATGTAAAACCTTACATATTTCAAACTTAAATTATTTGATCTAACATAATTCATAGTTTGAAATATCTAAGGTATATGCGTATTGGGTTGCGAAGATAAAGGGATACGAAATTATAGTTTGTGGCAAATACTTAATTTCTTCACATTTTCAGAGATCAACTTAAAGA